ATTGAAAAAATTTTTTTATTTGGAAATAATTTTAAACTCACAGATAAGATGCAAATATAAAAATAATACAAAGTCTTGAAACACTTTACTTAGATTCACCTATTGTTAGCATTTTACCCCATTTACTTTATCATTTTCTCACTCTCTCTCTCTATGTGTGTGTGTGTTTCTGAACCATTTCAAGGTAAGTTATATACATCATGGTCTTTTACTCTTAAATACTTCAGTGTATACTTCCTAAGAATAAGGATATTGTTTTATATTATCACAGTACAATCATTAGCTTCAGTAAATTTAAGATTGATATAATACTTTAATCTACTATTCATATTTCAGTTTTTTTCACTTGACCCAATAATGTTATACAGATTTTTAAGCAATCTCTCTGCTTTTAGACTTCTGCCTCACCTGGATCATCTATCATGATGGGAGACTAGTTCTTGAAGTTTTTGGGTTTTTCAGGTTATTTGCCTTGCTTATGAACAGAATTTTCTTTGATATTCATTTATGCTGATATTCATTTTCTAAATAACCATTCTTCTATCTGCTTTCTATTTTCCAATAGTGTGCTTTGGAATTTCATATATCTTCTAGACCCATCAAAGATGGAATTCATGTTCTGTTTTTTATTCTCCATTGTAGGATGAATTGTATAAGAAAGGAGTAGAAAAACTATCTTCCACTAATTTAATAATGAAAATATTCCTGTAGGGTATGCTATGGATCTAAATACAGTGATTCTAAAGAATGATGTAACTCAATGAAGAAACGTTAGGGGCAATCCCTAGGAAACAAGCATGCTCCCTACTATCACTTTAATTCATCAAAGTGTTGGAGGTTCTAGCCAGTGTAACGTATAAGAAAAAGAAATTTTAGGCATAAGGAATGGGATGGAAGAGTAAAAAAAACTATCACTTTTTGCCAGAGAAGTCAAAAGAATACACGGACACCCTGAGGGACCGAGTTACTGGGCTGAGGGCTGGGGACCACGGTTTCAGGGGACATTTAGTTCAATTGGCATAACATAGTTTATAAAGAAAATGTTCTACATCCTATCTTGATGAGTAACATCTAGGGTCTTAAAAGCTTGTGAGCAGCCATCAAAGATACATCGACTGGTCCTACCCTGGCTGGAGCAAAGGAGAATGAAGAAAACCAAAGACACAAAGGAAAGATTCACCCAAAGGACTAATGGACCACAACTACCACAGCCTCCACCAGACTGAGTCCAGCATAGCTAGATGATTCCCGGCTACCACCACTGACTGCTCTGACAGGGATACCAATCAAGGGTCCCAGACAGAGCTGGAAAAAAATGTAGAACAAAATTCAAACTCACAAAAAAAGACCAGACTTAGTGATGTGACGGAGACTGGAGAAACCCAAGAGCATGGCCCCTGGAAACCCTTTTAACTCAGTACTGGAGTCACTCCTGAGGTTCATCCTTCAGCCAAAGATTAGGCAGGCCCATAAAACAAACAATAATACACGTAGCTCAACTATATATACAAGACTAAATGGGCACACCAGCCCAGCGGCAAGGAAGAGAAGGCAGGAGGGGACAGGAAAGCTGGACGAATGGAAATGGGGAATCCAAGGTTGAGAAGGGGAGAGTGTTGACGTGTCATGGGGTTGGCAACCAATGCCACAAAACAGTATGTGTTTTAATTGTTTAATGAGAAACTAATTTGCTCTGTAAACTTTCACCTAAAGCATGATAAAAGAAAAAAAATTACTAATATACATAAGTAAACCATACTTCAAGGAATTAAAGCCTGTGTATATATTCAGCCATATATACAAGATGACTTGATAAGAGTATTCATTATAGTATTTTTTAGGAGGAAAAAAAAAAAGGGAACAACCTAAATGTTCATGAATTGGTAAGTAATGATGTATCTATACTATTGAATACTGTGCAGATGTTCAAAAGGATAAAGTTAAGGGGCACATGAGTAGTTTGCAGACTATGGCTCCCAAAATAGCCTCATCGGCATCGCCTGGAACTTGTTAGAAATGCAAATTCTTGGACCCCATCCCAGACCTACTAAATCAGAAACTCTAGAGAATGGAGCCCAGCAATATGAGTGTTAACAAGCCAGCCCTCCACATGATTCTGAGGCACACTAAAGTTTGAAAACTACTTGGGTAGATGATATATCGTGAAAGATTTATAGGTGCTGTTAATGAGAAAGTCAGGAATAATTTGCATAGTTTAAATCAATTCATATATAAACAAAGAACAGATATGTCTATAAAATGTGTATTTGCATATAAATTATAATAAGGAGACTCCAAAGATGAGCACCAAATGTTTCCTATGGATAACTTTAGATTGAATGTAATGGAGAGGGGAGCATGTTAACTGAATTATTTTTTTTACTCCAATATTTATGTATGAATTAAATATTTTCAATAAGAATATATTCATGTATCACATAGGTGATTTAAACATAATAAAAATAGAAAGTGGAATAAGAAAGAAGGATTTTAGTTTTATTTTACAGTTGTTGTATGGTGCACTTGAGAGGGGCCGGGATGGGTCACACCAGTATAATAGTTTGCTTCCCCAGTACGCTGGAAGTTTTATGAGGGCAGGGGCTATGCCTGTGTAGGTCATAGATGTATCCCCAGAAATTCGCATAGGTCCACTCACCAAAAAAAGCACTTAATAAATATTTGTTGAACTTAACTGTACATTTTTGTATCCAGAATGAGCCTTAGAGATGATCTAGTCCAACTACCATAATACAGAGATGAAGAAACAGAGATCTAATGTTGTGATGCCTGGCCAATGAAGTCACAATAAGCTCTTCAGTAATAAAGTAAAAATTAGTACCACAATCCCCAATACATAACCCAGACTTTATCTATCATAATAACAATGAGGTGGACCTGGATTTCAGGCAAAGTAATTTGATGTTAAACAATCCAGATAAGAAAACATCACTGTCATGAATTGTGTCCCCCTAAAATATGTGTTGAAATCCTAACTCCAGTACCTGTAAATATGACCCTGTTTGGAAATAGAGGTTTTCTTTTGTTATGTTAATGAGGTCATGCCAGAGTAGGATTAGTCCTAAACCTAATCACTTCTGAATTATGTAAAGAGCAGAATAGACACACACAGAGGAAAGAGGAAGACAGACTGAAGACAGATGCCTCTAACAAGCCCAGGAACGCCAAGGATTGCTGGCAGTTACTAGAAGTTGAATCAGACAAGGAAGGAGCTCTCCCTAGAGCTACGCACTGAATTTGGACCTCTAGCCTCCTGAACTGTGAGAAAATAAATTACTGTTCTTTAAAGCTACCCACTTGTGGTATGTTTTGTTATGGCAAACCAGATAACTAAGACAACCACTCTCTAGTGGCAAAAGCCTTTCACTGCAGACCAACACTCTAAAAGGAGAAAACCATCTCTTAAATATTAAATTGGACATATGATGCTATAAAATCAAGCACACAATACACTCATTCTTATATCATGAGACGTCCATTTTATTTTGCATTTTCAAATGGCAACAGTTAATTTGTGTCAGATGAACATTTCATTCAATAGTCACTTCTCAAAGACAAAACAAAAGTCAGCAAACTATCTATACTCTGTTAATATTGGTATTCCTTTGACCTGCTCAGTCTTCCTTAGATTTAGAGTTCAGGAGACAGAAAATCTTCATCAAAATTTAGCATTTGACTCTACAGTGTAAGGTTGTTCTAGGGTGCTTTCCTCTCTAATATAACTTGCAGAAATGTTTCCCTAGATAGAGTCTAATGTGGGTTTGGCATTGACATAAGACACTGAATATAAAAAAAAGAGTTTTCCCAATTTTTTGATGGGTCAGGAAGAGTGAGAAACCAATAGTTATTTCATAGTGAGGGATGGGAAGAGCCACACATGTATGGAGGACAGGGGAGGAAAGGCTCCATGTCCACTGGAAAGCAAATGGGCTCTATGCGGAAAGAAAAATACTTTTAGAGTGAGACCTACACACCTCCTGGATCACAAAACAGTGTAAGATACACACATTTCCCACATGTACCTGAAAGTGGGGGAAGTGACACTTTGAAATTAAGCAGCATTACTCACCCTTCCTTCCAACCACCAGCAGTAGGCAAAGGGAATGAAGATGTGGGGATCAAAAGAGCAGGTCTTTTGCTTAATACTCCTCCCTGGTCAGTCATGGCCACTAGCCTCACCAAAGATAAATAAATTTCAAGATTCTGCTGAATTCAAAACCCCCAGAGCTTCTGAGGTAACTTCCTGGAGACAGAGCTGTAAGGGACCTTCAGGGCCTACAGCCAGGTGTGTCACATCAGCCACTTTGGCTTAGTTTCACTGTCTTACCAGACATCCCGTGGAGTCGGCGTGATATAGTAGTGAGATATTCAGCTATGTGGCTCCTCTTGTAATTTATTTCTTCTTCAAATACAAAAATACAGAGACAAACATTCATTTTCTAGGACTAGAACTGGGAAGTCTTGTTGATCAAATTGAGGGAGGAGAGGTATACCTGAGATATTTTTAGCAGATGGCTGTGAAAATTAAGGGCTGCCTATATTCTCCTTATAGGCCAAGGGTCTGGGACAGACAGTTCTATTTGAAGAATTACTAGCACGTACCATTCTGAGGTTCAAGGGTCTGTTAAACAATGGGAGATCCTAGGGAAAACAAAAAGTTATTTGCCAATGAAAACCCAAGGGAAAATCATATTGAAGAACTGGGACACCAAAGTAAATTAGAATGACATCCACAGGATCAGTGTCTTTGACTGACTACTACCTTACAGGTGAGCTTGCAGTTGAGTCATTTGCCTGAAGAAAATGCAATTGCTGAGAGCATTAATAGATTGAGTAGAAGAGCAAAGTAAATTATCTTTAGGATAAGCTATTAAAAAAAAGAATCCAGTGTTATGGAATGTATATGCATAGCTTGTTTATTCTTTTATGTCTCTATGATTTGGTTTTACTTCTAGTGTTGGTTGTCTTTTTCAATCTTTCACCTATATAGGTCTAAGTAAATTTCCTATCACTTTCCTGAACAATACAATAATCACAGACGTCATTAGGAGAAAGAGACGAATAAATATAACATACAGCAGGGGCCTTTCGTTAATTTTTCCCACAGGCCCACTATCAATGCTTCCTCCAAACCCTTCCTCCTCACAGAAGGGAGGGGCCCAGCCATACAGGCAGTGGCAGTTTCTTCTATTGTTGCAAATCCCTCGGTTATTGCACTTCTCGGGCAAACAGTCAAAACGTAGGGTTGTGATTTTGACACATTCTCTGTTAACGCACACCAAGTTATCACCACAGGAAGTGCCATCCTTCACCATGCCAAAATCTGGTAATCCACTGGCTAATAAGGAGGCGTGATACTCTGTTCCCCAGCACAAGAGATTTTCCTTCTGCAGATGAGTGGAAATTAGAGTAGTATGATCAGGCATGTTAGGGATTGCCTTGACGTTGGTGCACTGCAGCCTTCCACATAATGCGTTTTCAGATGTACACCTTAGGTAGCCTGTACCCTGGAGTCCACAGTTTCCAAATCGATCACCCAGTAAATTTGTGGCATCATAGCACTGATGTGGAGCATCCATAGCTCCTTCCCCAAATATATTTTGGCACTGCAGATACCGAACATAGCACCCCTTTTTATAACAAAGGGAACCAGCTCTGCAAGGCGTTCCGTCCTGCTTGTAAATGTCATCCGGGCAGACACTTGAATTCCCATCACAGTACTCCGCAAGGTCACATTCGTTTAGTTCCTTCCTACATATGTATCCGGATGGACGAAATTGACAGTGATGACAGCAAAGACCAATGCTACAGTTGGCCCCAGGTTTCAATTTGCAGTCTGGTTGGCAACATGTGTTTCTTTTACAGTCCTCTTTTGAGCCACAGTCACATTCCTCACCTTCATCCACAACTTTGTCTCCACATTCCTTCACTGAAAATGCCATCTCTGGTATATTATTTAGGCAATCAGCCATTTTATTTATTAAGTTAAAATAATTGATAAAACTACAGTTACTAAACCCATTATGCCCAAGACCCATGATACAGTTAGCACTGCCTCCTCTACATTGACAGAGCCCTGAGTCATGTGTCATTCCCACACCATGTCCCAGTTCATGTGTAGATACATAAGCAGGAGAAATCATGTTTCCAGTTCCAAGAGTACTAGTTGATGCACCATGATACTTATCACAAACACCTCCGATCCAGCCCCACCCACGTGCATCACCAAAAGAATCTTTTACAAACAAGTGTGACCAATCGGTTTGAATTCGAGGATATTGGACGTCTCTTCTATACTTTGAAAAAGAACGAAGAACATTAAGTAATTGTTTGTTACTAGTATTTATTTTATCACTGTCAGTCCAGATTTCAATAGCTGATAGATGGATGCGTAGATTTAGTGCCTGAAATTGAGAGTCCATAAAACCTGCCATAAGAAGTCCTTCAAAAATGATATGGGTTAAGTTATGTTTCCTAAACACAAACCTCTTGTGATCAAATACAAGGAGCAACTCCAGATACTTTCTGTGGATGTAGATGTCACGATATTCCAGCAGCTCTGACGATTCATGTCTGGATATCTGCCATTCTATTCCTTCATCAGTTAAGCCACAGGCCTTAGTGCTAAACTCCTCATCCTTTAGGAGATAAAAGATGTGCTCAAAGCTGGAGGAGGCTCTGAGAGGCTCAATTTGGTAAACTTGCTCTTCCAGCCTCAGCATGCCGTGGAGGCCTCCCAGGCATGTACTTAGCGTAGCTTCAGACTCCTGGGATCCTTCCACAAAGCCAAGGTAGTTGCAGTTCCTGGGTAAGTAAGGGTGATCCTCCAGGAAGTCTCCTTGGTCTGTGAAGGAGAACACTCGAAGGTGTCGGGGCACCAGGAGCCTATTGAGTCTCAGGTGGAGAATATAATTCTTGCCAATCAGGTGCAGGAGGTAGGATACCTGCCCTGAACCAGTCTGTGTCTCCATTCTGGGGCTCACCTTTCTGGGAATGATGATTTCGTAGGAGTCGAAGCCCCACTCCGGGTGGAGATTAAAACTCTGCCCCAGGCAGCCTGGGTCAGCGCGGATTGCCATTAGGGCTAGTAGCAGGATGGAGCTGTCTGGATACAGGGAGGGCCCCATCGAGCCCCCACCCCCCTCGCCTGAGCCTGGGAGCAAGGTCAGGTGTGAACGGCAGTGGCCACCACTAGATGCGCCAGAGGGAAGTGCGGAGAGCGAGCGGCGCCCGCTGGGGCGCCTCGGTACTGCACAGGCCGGAGTGAATCCAGCTTTTGGCTCTGCTGCGCCTGGTTCAGGGCCCGGCCCGCCCAGCCGGGGTCGCGGCTGTGCCGTTGGGCTCTAGAGCAAGAGAGCGTAGTCGAAGGGCGCGAGGATAAGAGAGCGCTAGACACGCGGAGGGACTAGGGGACTAGGGGAAAAGCAGCAAGGTCGTCTGGAATGAAGTAGAGGGTAAATTGGGAATCAATGGAATTTACAGAGACCAATAACATCTGTTCTAGTGCTTACTCTGCGCATCTCTAGACGTGCCTTTCTGTTACTTTTTTAAAATCAGAATCGAGATTTTTATCTAGAGTTCTGGGCCCTAAATTCTTCCACTTCTTGAGGGGTTTTATGACTGCACTCAGTGGCTCATTCTGGGGAAGCCTTCTGGATGGATAAACTATTCCTTAACCTGCGAGAGAGCACGAGAGAGACTTAGGCCTTTAACAGTCCGTGGAAGACAGTCCATCCTACTCAAGTTATGAATATATTTTTCGAGAAAAACTGACCCACATCAGGTCAGATGAGCGTGTCTATGTATGAGCAAGCATTTAGCCCTGGTTTTCTGTTTTCTTGTGGCTCTGGTTCATCCCTGGCCTGGCATCCTTATACCATCTCAAAGAGATGCTAGTCTGTGGTGCAGAAACAATGAAATATCGGTTTGATGACAGTGCCAGTCTAGGTCATTATGTTTTGCTGTAATATGTAAGGAAGTCCTTCATAAACCCATTGGGGTCGAGTGGATTGGACTCATAGCAACTGTATAGGACAAAGTAGAATTGCCCCATATGGTTTCCAAGGAGCGCCTGGTGGATTCGAACTGCCAATCTTTTGGTTAGCAGCCAAGCTCTTAACCACTGCACCACTAGGGCTTCCAATGTCCTTCATACATGCATGTAATTAGTAAGTGCCAAGCAGTGTTAGGAGATGAATATATATATTAATCTAACAGTTGAGCTTTCTGCTACTAACCGAAAGGTCCGTGGTTGGAACTCACCCAGGGGCTCAGAGGGAGGAAGAAAGACCTGGTGATCTGTTCTTGCAAAGATTCGTTGTTATTGCTGTTTGCCATCCAGGAGATCCCCACCCCTAATGACCCTATAGGACAGAGTCAAACTGCCCCATAGGGTTTCCTAAACTGTAATCTTTATGGGAGCAGGTGACTTCCAACTGCTGACCTTTTGGTTAGCAGCCAAACACAACCATTTCGACACTAGGGCTCCTTCCCATAAAGATGACAGCCTAGTAAAACCCTATGAGACAGTTCTCATGAGGATCACATGAGGATCACATGTATATGAGGGTCGCTATGTGTCGAGATCTACTCAATGGAATCTAACAAAAGCAATATACATAGGGCTCCTGCACTCTCAGATCTTGGAGGCCAGCCATGAAAGCAGTAACATATAAATAAACAGTAACAATAAATTGTACTAGTTGGTAATTTATCAGTTATTGACACTTACTGAAAAAGAATAGCAGATCCCTGTAACCCGAAGTTTAGCTAGCTCAATTTTCACTTCTACACGGTTTTGGAATGCTGTTTGGTCTCTAAATAAAACTGCCTTGGAATAGCACAACTTTCCTGCACAATAATTTCTCTGTTTCCCTTTCCCCCACCATCTTCTGGTTTTTGTTGACATTATCTGGTACTTTTTAAAGAGATTTTTAATAATATACTTTACTGCTTGCTGGTTCTACTTTATGAATCTCTTTTAAGAAATTGTAATCAAATTCACAATTATATTAACAATTATTTTGAGTTAACTTTGCAATGCAATAGGGTCTTACTCATTGGTCTTCCTTATTCTTTATATGTGCCACTTCTGTGAACTCGTATTTTATTTTCCCTGAGTAGAAAGCCCTCCCTTTTATTTATTTATTTATTAAAGAATACTTTAAAACTTTGAATTTTCATCAGGATGTGCCTAGGTGTGTGTTATAGATTGAATTGTATCCCCCCAAAAATGTATGTCAACTTAGCTAGGCCACGATTCCCATTACTGTGTGATTGTCCACCATTTTGTCATCTGACGTGATTTTCCTGTGTTGTAAATCCTACCTCTATGCTGTTAATGAGGCAGGATTAGAGGCAGTTATGTTAATGAGGTAGGACTCGATCTACAAGATTAGGTTGTATCTTTAGTCAGTCTCTTTTGAAAAATAAAAGAGAAACGTGAGCAGAGAGATGGGGGACCCCATTACTACCAAGCAAGGAGAGCCAGGAGTTTGTGTGTCTTTTGGACCTGGGGTTTTTGTTCTGAGAAGCTCCTAGACCAGGGGAAGATTGATGACAAGGATCTTCCCCCAGAGCCAATAGAAAAAGAAAGCCTTCCCTTGGAGCTGGCACACTGAATCTGGATTTTTATCCTCCTAGACTGTAAGAAAATAAATTTCTCCTTGTTAAAGCCATCCACTTGTGATATTTTTATTATAGCAGCCCTAGATAGCTAAGACAGTGTGTATGTATGTGTGTGTGTTTTCAGTTTTCTTTTAAGGTTTAGATAGATCCTTTAAAAAACAAACAAACAAACAAACAAAACCCTGTTGCTGTCAAATCAATTTCAACTCATAGTAACCCTATAAGACAGAGTAGAACTACCCCCATAGTTTTCCAAGGCTGTAATCTTTACGGAAGCAGACTGACACATCTTTCTCCCATCACATCTTTTTCCTGCAGGGAGTCTGGTGGGTTCCAACCGCCAACTTTTTGGTTAGCAGCCCAGCACTTAACCACTGCACCACCAGGGCAGTGACAGATCCTTCACCGGGGATATTATCTTACGTTATTTCTTCAATTACCCATGCTCTTTGTTGTTGACACTTCTTCCTTCTAGAACTCCTATAAGTACTCATTTAATTCCTGAACCTGCCTTCTATACCTTTTTTTTTAATTCTTACAATTGAAGCTGTTATCTTTTTTGTACTGTGTTTAGACAAAGGCCTCAGCTTGATCTCTCAACTCACTAATTCATTGTGTAGTCCTGTCCATTCTGCCATTCAGGTCTTCCTATTTATTAAAAGTACTGCCTGGCGAATCTAATATTTCCAAGCCTGGGTTTTGTCATCTGTGAAACAATAGCAAAAAGATGGAAACAACCTAGGAGCCCATTAAAGGATGAATGGATAAATTATGATACGTTCACACAATGGAATACTACGCAACGATAAAGAACAATGATGAATCTGAGAAACTTCTCACAGCATGAATGAATCTGGAAGGCATTATGCTGAGTGAGTTTAGTCAGTCACAAAAGAACAGATATTGTATAAGACCACTGTTACAAGAACTCAAGAAAAGGTTTAAACACAGAAGAAAACATTCTTTGATGGTTATGAGGGCAAGGAGGGAGGGAGAGGGGTATTCACTAACTAGATAGTAGGCAAGAATTATCTTAGGTGAAGGGAAGGACAACGCAAACTACAGAGGAAGTCAGCACAACTGGACTAAACCAAAGCTAAGAAGTTTCCTCAATATGACCAAACACTTTGAGGGACACAATAGCAATGGCGGGGGTCTGGGGACCATGGTTTCAGGGGACATCTAGGTCAACTGGCATAACAAAGTTTATTAAAAAAATGCTCTGCATCCCACTTTGGTGAGTGGTGTCTCGGGTCTTAAAAGCTAGCAAGCGGCCATCTAAGATGCAGCAACTGGTCCCAACCCACCTGGAGCAAAGGAGAATGAAGAACACCACAGACACAAGGAAAACATTAGCCCAAGAGACAGAAAGAGCCACATAAACCAGAGAGTCCATCAGCCTGAGACCAGAAGAACTAGATGGTGCCTGGCTACCGCCAATGACCACCCTGACAGGGAACACAACAGAGAGTCCCTGATGGAACATGAGAAAAGTGGGGTGCAGAACTCAAATTCTAGTAAAAAGACTAGACTTAATGGTTTGATTAAGACTGGAGGGACCTCGGAAGACATGGCCCCCGGACTCTCTGTTAGCCCAAAACTAAAACCATTCTGAGATCAACTCTTCAGACAAAGATTAGACTGGACCGTGGGACTTAAAATAATACTCATGAAGAGTGTGCTTCTTAGCTCAAGTACATACAAGAGACTAAATGGGCAGCTCCCGTCCATAGGCGAGATGAGAAGGACAGAGAGGGTCAGAAGCTGGTTCAATGGACACGGGAAATCCAGGATGGAAAGGAGGAGAGTGCTGTCACAGTATAGGGAGAGCAACTAGGGTCACATAACAATGTATGTATAAATTTTTTTATGAGAAATTAACTTGAATTATAAACTTTCACTTAAGTGAGAAAAAAAAAACGAAAGAAAGCTAAGCATGTTCTTTCTTCCCTTTTGGCTTTCTATCCCAAGCCTTTGCACATTTTATTGTAATACTTTACTTGTCTTCTTGAGCCACCCTTTGAGATCTTCTGTTCAACTCTTTTACTTCATCATTTCTTCCTTTCATCTTAGCTGCTCTACTTTCAAAAGCAACCATCAGAATCTCTTCTGACATCCATTTTGGTCTTTTCTTTCTTTCCTGTCTTTTTAATGATCTCTTGCTTTCTTCATGTATGATGTCCTTGATATCATTCTACGACTCGTCTGGTCTTCAGTCATTAGTGTTAAATGCGTCAAATCTATTCTTGAGATGTTCTCTAAATTCAAGTAGGATATACTCAAGGTCGTACTTTGGTTCTCATGGACTTGTTCTAATTTTCTTCAACTTCAGTTTGAACTTGCATATGAGCAATTGATGGTTTGTTCCACAGTCAGCCCCTGGCCTTGTTTTGACAGATAATATTGAGCTTTTCCAAAGTCTCTTTCTGCTGTTATTCATAGGATTTTCACTGGCCAGTTTTTCAGAAGTATACTGCCAGGTCCTTCTTCCTAGTCTGTCTTAGTCTAGGAAGACAGATACCTGTCCACCAATGGTGACCCTGCTGGTATTTGAAATGCTGGTGACAAATCTTCCAGTATTACAGCAACGTGCAAGCTACCACAGTATGTCAAACTGAC